TGACCTGCATTTGCCCGCGTGTATGGGATAGAAGAGTCAGGTCACACGCGAAGTCCAAATCATCTAGTTGCATCCAACCTGTCCATTGTATTCCGTGCTTCCTGTCAGCTGTGCAGGTCTTCATAATCGATCATAATCAACCACCAGAAGAAAAGAAAGGCAGGAGAGTATGCAGCCTTGTCGGAATCAGGTCCTCGCTTGGAATGCATCTGTCAGCTGTCCTCCACGCACCACTTTGCAGTGTAGTCCATCCAGCTGCCTAGTGTTTCTTTAGATTCAGTTTCATCTCGAGCACAGCCAGGTGGAGACCTGAAGCTATGCCAGCTCCTATCCTGCTTCTCATGCCCTCCATCGACCTTCGGAATATTTTAGTGATGCAAATATGATCGATCTGGTTGTGTGTAGTGTGATCCAGTGAGGTCCATGTGGCTTTGTGTATGCGTTTGTGTGGGAATATTGAGCAGCCTTTGCCCATCTTGTTGAATGCAGATAAATTTGCAAATGTGTCACCATTCTCGTTCCTTTCTCCCAGTCAGTTCATGTCGTCCCATGATATCATCATAACCGTTGTTGTCCATTCCGACATTGGCGTTCGGGTTTCCCATCAGGATGGTCAGGTACTTTCATGATCACTTCTTTATGATTGATTGCGGCCTCTCATAGAACTGATATCTATCATCGTCATTGTTATTATTGGTGGGTGCACAACATTGGATAACATTCATTGTGATTCCCTCATTCTTTGTTTTGAACAATGCTTTGATGATCCTGGATCCACAAGACTCCCACCTTATAAGTGCTTTACGTGCTTCTTTGGACAGCATCAGAGAAACTCCCTGGGTGTGTAGAGCATGTTCCTCTTCGTGACTGGCGTACAGCAGCATCTCTCCCGAAGCTAGCCTTTGCCGTCCAGCTTGGGTCCAATGTGTTTCTCTTATTCGAAGTACTACCAAGTTGTATCTCTTCATTTCCGTAGCTATTCGACTTGTCCTCTCGGTCTCCCACATTGTCTGAACATTCCATGCGTCTATCTTAATTGCTGCTCTGATTGTTAGAAGGGGCATCGGCCTCGTGAATTCGGAAGAATCTCGGCGTTCATCATGAGGCGTCATAATTGTTGTGGATGAAGATCTTTTAATTCGGAGTGTATAGTTTAGATGTTTAAAACAGTTGTTCATGCTGATAAATTTCGATTAAACGAATTAAACCATGTAAACTATTTCGATAATGCAGACTGTTCGAAATGTATTGCGCAACTACATCAAATAATTCTGATAAGCTTCATCTTCTCATCGAATTAGTTTACATGGTTTAATTTGTTCAGTCTGATTGGCCTCTTATGGCAAGGTTTTTTCTACATGATGGGTTTACAATCCCATGTCCAACCTTCCTTTGTGTGGGCTTGGGACTGACAATCATTCTAGAAAGGCTAAAAGCGGACTTCATACAGATTTTGGAAATAGCAGTCATTAAAGTTCTCAATTAGTTCGGTATGCAAAGTTAGCTCGATATCGATAAGTTGATGAGACCCAATCAATTGCTTACTAAATCGCTGGTAGGAGTAACACATTGTATCTCAAATTCATTAAGTATACATTTTAATTTATGTGTAGCTCAATATTGATTACCAAACTATCGGAAGAACGTAGTAAGTCCTGTCTTTAAAACAGGAAGAGGACACAAACCTGAGAACTATCGGAACATAAACCTAACCAACGAGGGTGCTAAAATTTTGGAGAAGATTATTCAATTGTTGTTTACGTATCTAGGCAAAACGTCGGATCCTTTTTGAATAGCAGTATGGTTTTGGGAAATGTTATCCGTCGTTAACATACTCACTAGTAACTCGAGTACGTCAATGCGGCCTCAAAGATTAGAATCTACTAATAGATGTAGCCTTCATTGACTACGGTAAGGCTTTTGACAATGTTCCACACAACAGGTTGCTATATTAGTCAAGTGATATCGGGAGTGGAGGTAAGTTACTTATGTGGATAAAGGATTTGCCAGTTAAGTATCAGCAGTGAGTGTAACTAAGCTACCTGTTGTCTAGTTGCTCTTTTGTAGGGTGTATTATACTGTGATTATCGTCCTATCCTGTACATCGGGCACATCTTACCCCGAAAAATAAGGTAAAAACTTATTTCTTTTCGACGGACAATTACCAGTTCGAATTGTACCTATTGCGGACTTAAGTCGTAAATAGATCTGCAATTTATTATATACTCACAGTCTCTAATCCTAGTATTAACCAGGTTAATACTTAATAGCAACTAATACTCAGATATTACATTTAATTTAACGAGCACTGTGCTCACTTATTTTCATATCATGTCCAATAACTCCAGTAAAAGAGAAATTTCACCAACTTCTAAGCCAAATAAAAGGTCCAAATCTGTAACCCCTACAACTGACGACTCAGTGCTTGACAATGTCGAACCTTTAACTACTGAAAAATATGTGTATTGTACACAAATGTCTCTATCGTCACCAGATTCTCCATGTCGCAGCCCCTCTATCTTTACGTGCAGTATGCCAACGGTAAGACTGGTTGACATACAAGACACTATACCTACGTGCATCGAAAAGTCAGCACAGTCTACTAGACAGTATGTGCTACCAAGGCCTAAGTCTAAAATTTCAAAAACTAAAGAGTCCAATGGTCCACCTCATACACACCAAAATACTGATAGATATAGTAATGACATCCGACAGCTACAAAACTCTCTATCCGAAATTAACGGCAAACTTGAGCAATTAGCACCCCTCACTCATATATGGGGCCTTGATACAGACAGAAATCTTGAGCAACTCACTAAAGCTGAGTGTATTTTGGAGTTTGTGGCTGAAGAAGTGACGAAGAGAGTGATGTCCTCCTTCAATGCAGTTGTGTATAACCTCCCCGACCGCACACACCCATCTAAGTTAAGGGATATTTGCCTTAGAGCATGCGGTATGCCGAACGTTAACTGCAAAGTCATCCGCCTTAGAAAAAAGTCAGACAGATCGACTTGCCCCCTTTTGTTTATGTTTGGCTGTTGTAACGATGCTAAGCAGTTTATTGATTTGAGCAAAAATATTAGCTCACTAATTCCATACAAGAATATAAAAGTCACTCCAGACCTTACGCCCTGTCAACGTCGTGTAAGAAGACGCGAAGCGATAGAATTGAATGGGAGTGTTACAGTTAATAATCAGCCAGAGACAGTTTGCAACACAGCAAATAGTTTAAAACACACGAACAATAAGCATGACACCACTCCACATACGGCTGATCACTCTGTTGATCTAGATGAGTCTACAGATCAGAAACCTTTGGATAAGATACGGACCCCAACTGACACCAAAAACCATAACGACATGACTAATCCCAGCTGTTCGTTCAGTAATGTACTAAAATGTGAGTCGTGTAACAACACACATCCAACTAAACCTATACACTTGAAAATTTGTCCTCCTAAAGATATTCCACAAGTAGACTTGAATGAACGTAAGTTCATCTCACAGAGACAACGAAAGACTCCAGCTCTGAAAATAAAGGGTGGGAAGACAAAACTCATGATACCGAATAGGGAAACACGTAAGATTGAACCCAACTGCTCTATAGGTATCCCAAGAACAGTGAACATGTTCTCCCCGCTGCTATCGTATAACTTGCCTTCAACACCTCCAAGTTGCAAAAAGGGTGGTGGGCTTCAACGTAGCAAGCCTTCTTACACGCAGACTAACGAAAACTACCAGAGAACTGGCCACCCAAATCACCCCCTGAAGCCTAAAACCATGAATAAGAATGGTAATAATAGGTTTCTCACTCCACACCCTACCTACATTCCCCAGGATCGCAACTGTAATTACTCTCAGAAAGAAAACTTCTCACACCCTTTAGTACCGACCCATCACATAACAACGGCTCCCATGTATAACAGCAGTCGCAACTCCTCCCAGTTACGCGTAGCAGACCCCTCTCACGCTAACGTAAATAGCCATAACAGGGGCTACGAGTCTAACCATCAAGACTATTTTGTAAATAACCATACACTTCACAGTAGGCCTGTACAAGATTTTTTTGGAATAAGACCCCTAGTGACACCTCTGTTGAAGCATATAGCCCAGGTTATTTCAAACCACATGCAAACCATAAATTTGTTTCCTCCGTACAGTTTCCACCAGAGAGTACTCCCACCCTTTCCTCCTGGGTAAACTCCCCAATCAACTTCACTAGCTCATTTGATACATCTCCCAATAAGTCTAGCTATCAAAATACCGAGCTAATGAAGAACATCCAATCCCTCACATCAAACTCATCTCATACACGCGAGGGTTACGACAATTTTATCCGAGATACCCTCACCCATTTTAACTTAGTAGGCCACCTGCTTAATATATGTCTTATCAACGCTCGATCGATCTGCAACAAAAAGACGGATTTAGCCCTGTTTGTATCCATATATCAACCATCAGTTATTATGATATCTGAAGCATGGACTAACAGTAATATTTCCGACCGAAGTATATCTCTTGATAACTATTCCCTATATAGAAGCGATAGATTGAATGGACGAGGCGGAGGATGCCTTATTTACGCTCACTCTAGCCTAAACTCACTGCTATGTGATATGCCTGAACTAAACAAACTGAAGGATTCGGTGTGGATTGTATTAAAGCCGTCGAATTCCGTTACCTTACTGCTCGGCTGTGTTTATCGTCAACCTAACGCATCAATAGATGAAATAGCAGTATTATCGGAGGTATTCACACTAGCATCATCCCTCTCATTCACAGGCAAGCTCATTTGTGGTGACTTCAATATGCCCGAAATTTCTTGGCTGCCAGTCAAAGCGCCGAGACGTTATGAATCATTTATTGAATGTCTAGAGCTTGGACAATGGACTCAGTATGTCGATAGCCCTACCAGACATCAAAACATCTTAGACTTAGTCTTTACCAGTGGCCTCATCCCCAATACTTTGTATATTGGAAAAAAGTTCCCAGGTAGTGATCACAACATTGTCATATGCAGCCTTAATGTAAAAACCACAACCGATAGAAGTAAAACCGTAACACTTCGTAGAAACTATCGCAAGGTTGATTGGAATAACTTCCACAATTACTTAAGAAGCACTGATTGGAGAACTTTCTTTACCTCAAACAATACCGACACATTAACCAATATATTTTATCACAACATCAAAAGTATCATCAACAACATCGCACCTTTAGAATACTGTAAACCTACGTTCTCCAAAGATCTCTATATACCGGTCAGTACAAGAAGACGTCTTCAAAGACATTGTACTCGATTCCACAACTTAAATGACTTTTCCTCTTTAGTAACGATGACAGAAATACTTGTCCGAACAGAGGCAATAAGTAAACAAAAAGCAGTAGCACAGGAAAAACGTGCAGTTGAACTTAATAATAACTCCTCTGCACTCACCATACTACTCCAAAATAAACTTAAACGCTCTAAATCGAGAGGGAGTATATTCATTAAAGGCAAACAAGTATACGAAGATCCCAAACTTATCACAGAATTATTTAGTGAACATTTTTGTTTCTCACTAACTAACGAAAAACCATTTAATGATTCAGAACCAATCCCAGTAACTCCCTGTGAAATTACTAATGTAGAATTCAGTGTACAAAATATCTCCAAGGCAATCAGTACATTGAAACACTCCTACACTGATGGACCAGATGGTATCCCATCTAGCATGCTAAAACGTGGAGGTGATGATATGTGTGTTTTGCTTCTCAAACTATTCGCGATATCACTCTCTTCAGCGTGTTACCCTACTGCCTGGAAAACTACACATATCATTCCCAAAATTAAAACAGGACCTGAAGCAAACGTTGAAAATTACCGGCCTATAAACATAACTTCAGTGGTATCCAGAGTGATGGAAAAAGTAGTTAAGGCGGCTGTAGTCCAACATCTACTAACTAATAATCTCATCTCGACCTCCCAGCATGGATTTCTTAGGTCCAGATCATGCGATACATGCCTAGTAGACTACCTGAATGATATAACTCTGAAACGAGACAGCGGACTCCTTGTATCAGTCCTATTCCTAGACTTTAAGAAAGCCTTTGATAAGGTCCCACACAAAAGGCTACTCGTCAAACTAAAGTCCTTCGGAATACACAACCCACTGTACTCATGGTTTGCTTCGTTCTTAACAGAACGTAAACAGATGGTAAAGTACAATGACTGTCTCTCGTCCCCTAGACCAATCACCAGTGGAGTCATCCAGGGAAGCGTATTAGGTCCACTTTTGTTTCTTATGTATATAAACGATATATGTAACACCATAGAATTTGGGAAACCATACTTATATGCTGATGATCTCAAAATAGTATACAGCTATAAGCCTGAGACACTAAGCGAAAGTGTATCCCAGATCCAAAAGGACCTCAATAACTTAACTATATGGAGTGAAAAATGGCAATTACCATTTAACCTCAACAAGTGCGGGATCATGCACTTTGGAAAGCATCCCTATAAACCGCGACTTCACTTAAATGAATGTAGAGTCCAAACATTCGAATCAGTACACGATTTAGGAATTAATTACACAGGAAGCCTAAACTTTGAAGAACATGCCTCCTCTATTATTTCTAAATCTAGACGGCTAATTGGTTTTATAATGAAAAACTTTTTCACAACAGAGGGTAAACTTACTCTCTACAAAATATGTGTACGACCCTCCCTTGAATACTGCTCTTTTGTCTTCTCTAATATGAATATCGCAGACAAGATAAGAGTAGAAGATGTTCAAAGACGTTTCACACGTCAACTACTAGGATGTAACTCGAATCTCGATTACACAGAAAGATGTAAGCATCTATCTTTAGAACCTTTATGGCACCGTAGGCTAAAAAACAATTTAATATTTCTCTACAAAGCGATATATGGGCTCTCCTTTCTAACCTCCTGCCCGACTATCACCCACGACCCAGCCTATAGACTTAGAAACAACGCATATACACTACTTACCGTAAAACACCAAAAACAAATGCGTTGTAAGTTTTTTACAGTACGGTACAGTTTATTGTGGAACAGGCTGCCAATGCCTATCCGTAACTGTGATACGTTTACCAGATTCAAAAAGCTAATAACCCTATTTCTAGACTCCAAAGAGCTTCAACATTTCCTTGAACTCCCGCCCACCAATGAGGCACTTTATTACGGACCGCCTAGTATCTAGAAAGAACAAAATTATAACAAGTTCGACTGTTACTAATATGAATATAACCAAATCACAGAATATATGGCTTATCCTTTCCTATTATTCATTGTTTATTAATCATGACTTCATGCTCCTAACCCTAGCTTTCAGTCCCCAAATCTCTACAGGTTAAATGTACATTATTCTTCCTAAAAGTCATGCTTTTTTTTCTACTGCAAGTAGACAGATAGCTCAACCTTATGGATGCTGATCTACTAAGGCCGATCATACAAAGCTCAAAATTTGGCCACAAAGTCTTGTGAGTTTCTCAATGTTTTATTTGTCTTACCCTGAAATTTTTTTTCTTTCTACAATTTTATACCCTCTCATATCTTTTGATTTGCTATTAGTCCTTACTTCTTTAAACCATTAGTTATTTTCATAGCAGTGTGATATACTATATGGACATCTAACCCATAAAAGACTTTTCAACTATCTGATTTGCTTGTAACATGGACCTAGTAGAGACAGTGTATTCCAACTATGGGCTTTGATTAAAGCAGTATTCATACTTACCACAAACGTAAGAGAGCCTAACATCACAAAAGGAGGGAGGGTGGCGTTACTGACCAGCAAACATGAAGGTGGGGAGATAACTTCAATCCACCCATGTCTGTAGGGCAGAACATTTTGTTTAATTACGGCTCCTTATGGTTTAGTGGGATGTCACGAACTTATGGTATTGATGCTGATTTATCACGCAAAATACCTCTTTAAATCGTGTTACGACCGTTGAATTGGTTTCACTGCCTCTCGTCTTTTCTTTTGCTTGCTCCCTCTTTCAGCCCCCTCGTGATATGGAACGAAAGATTTCATCCTGTACCATCCTCAAAGCCTTAGACATTCCGAAAGGACATGAGGTTGCGGCATTTAGAAGCTTCCACATTCAATGGACCTATCTTTGACTATCAGTTGCGCACTTGCAACGCAACTTTCATGAAGCTCGCCAACTGTGGTACTGATTAAAACCATCTACATTCATATCTTATAAATTATCAACCCAGCTATGTAATTTACTACAGTGGATATTGTATCAGTTTGATCTTGCCTGTAAACTGGCATGCCTCATGTAACAAACTGTTATTTGAGAGTAAATTATTATTATTATTAAAACTGATTGATGGAATCATCCAGCGTGCAGTTCCTGGGCCAGAGTTATTCCTCCTGTATGTAGATGATCTTCATACTCTTCTATCATCATCGGTTTTATCGTATAATGGTGATATTTGGATACGGATATCGAAAGAAAGCGAAGTTAGTAGTACAGAGATTGAAAATAACCTGGAGGAATTGTTTGAGTTGTCTAGAACTTGGAAGTTGTCTATAAATGCTTCTAAGTGCATTGTGATTCATATTGTCCAGATACACAGTGACCTGAGAGTCACTAGTTGACAAGACTTGAGAATTACTACATACCACGATGAGATGGCTACCAAAGATTTTAGAGCTCTCTGGTCAGTGAGTAGAGCTTGTATTCACGTCCATATTCAAACCTATTTGACTTTGTCTGCAGTGTTAGTCAGTGCTAAACTCGATTAATGAATAGAAGCTGCTGACTCTTACATAGGATGAGACAATGAGTTGTTGAAAAGGCTAAGGAACTGCTAGTAAACTGACTCTTGGGAAAGCGAAGCCCTCCTGTTATGATAGACTGGCTAAATTAAATCTATTTCCGTTGTCATGTAGAATTACAGAGGTGACTTGATCACAGTTTTTGGGTTAGTTGGTGGTAAATCCGCGTCTGATATGCCCTAATTTTCTTGTCTTCCAGATCAGAGGATTGACGAGGAAACTCTAAAAATGTTTACAACTCCAGAACAAATTGCTTGTTAGATGGCTATCGACTATCCTATTGACACATCAACAAATGAAATCCATTACCATAACGCGTGACTGTAGCACCGTCTGTCGACGTTTTCTAAAGAAAATCGTGTCAAGTGAGCAACCATTATTGCCAAGAATAAAAAAGGCCACTGAATCACTTATCCTTCCCAAATTGGAACTGAAATTTCCTATTCTGTTTACAATAATTTGAACTATTTAGAGATCCAAAACTGTACTATTAAATCAAGATGGGAATTTCTGAATATTAGAAGTATTTGAATTATAGTATGAATTAAGAATCCCAGAAATAACGTAGTCGGATCAAGAATTACTAGATAACCACAAACGAATGTACTGTATTTAGAATTCGAAATCAAGGATTCAACAAGTACAAATATATCATTAGTTCATTCAAACACCACAGCCGCCACAGCTTAAACTGGATTCTAAGTGTCTGTAATTCATTGTACATCTTCTCCTCAAGTTCATCCTGTGTCTGTCCGACAGTGTATTGGATAAAGACACTGCTCATTAGCATTAGAATTAACAACTGAAATCGGAACAGACTTGCCTGCTTCCTAGGGTTGAGTAATCAGTTTGTAGGTTGTGTACTGAAGCCGCTGCTCCCTTTGAATTTAAACCGTAGACTTTCAGACTATCCTCCCCCACGAAATAATGTTGGATCTCTATATCCCCAATTTATGAATGATGTGGCTTCATTTAAAACATATTTCTCACACTGACTAGAGTAAACATTAGAAGTGACTTCGTGATGAGGATAAACAGCAGCTGATATGAAGTCATCCAAATTGTAATCAAAATCGAGGTCATTTATTACTTGTGATTCGAATTGAACAAGTTCCCCACAAGAAACAAATGCATTATGAGGACAAATAATATTTGATAGAACATCAAAATTTGATTCTTCTGAAATAGTTCCCTCAAATTTATTAAGAATGTCATTGCAGAGCATAGGGTCGTTAGAAAAATCAGCATCCATCAAAACTACATCAGGTTTTCGATCATAATTATGTTCACTCGGCATATTTTCTTCAGATTTGTAAGAAATTTCATCAGAAAAATGTGATTCATTAGGAAAAACCATATTTGGTATAATAACATGAGAAATCTGACAAATTGATTGATTAGAAATTGTTGTCTCACGAGGATTCTGAGTTTCATTTAATTCTGAACTGCTAAATGACTCTACACCGTCTTTTGAAATCGTTGATGAAGATGAATGATCATTATAAGTACTGAACTTAATATAATCAGAATTACAAGACTTAATATTAGTTGCAGCAAGATGTACAGTAGTATTACAAACTGAATGAATATGTCCAAGATCACCACATTTAAAGCACTTAGAATTACGAAATTTACATGAATTAAAAGAGTGGAACTTGCCACAGGACAAACATTGACCAAACTTGTACCCATTTTCATGAACTGCATCGCAACTCCCCAATGAATTATCCGCATAACCTTCAGTGTGCACTGTATTGGGATGACGCAATGGAGTGGAGTTTATTAAATCCTCATGAATCATTTTAGTAAGTCCTCCTCCTTAACCACATTCGAAATTTGTATCCTTAACATAGTCTAGCACTAGATCCTTGAGAATTGTATAAGAAAGCAAAATGGGCTTTTCCAGAGTAAAGCCAGAGTTTTTAATAAGCTATATGCTTCTTTTCCGATAAATGTGAGGAAATGTGCTAAAATAGTACCATCCTCATCATCTTCCTTGGTCATAGCCCCAATTTCGAACCTTTCAAAATAATCCTCAAAAGCATCAAAATCTGAATGTATATTCAACAATTCCATCACAGGTTCAATCGCTACACCACTGTGATAATTAGAAGTACTTGAATTATAGTATGAACTAAGAATCCCAGAAATAACGTAATCGGATCAAGAATTACTAGATAACCACAAACGAATGTACTGTATTTAGAATTCGAAACCAAGGATTCAACAAGTACAAATATATCATTAGTTCATTCAAACACCACAAAGTTCCAATCAATAAGATGATTTGTAGTAAGTCTTCACACAAATATGTACGTTAGCATCAGAACATTGGATATTTGAAGCTGCTAAATATTGAATTTGTTTATCTAACTCAACCGAAGCTCGCTTCTATGGATATGATGAGTCTCAATTCGTAAATCCGAGCACATGGTCTTTAAAACATATCGCCCAGTACAGACGTCTATAAGTGTTTGGTTGAAAAATTCCTTACTTACTCATCAGACTATTTTCTTGGTAATTCCTGTTAAATAATAATAATTCACTAGTTATTAATGGGAATTCTTGTGGGTCTATCATGTTGGTTACTAATTTGGACATCTCGGTTTTCTGACTTCGAAATTATCATGAGGTCCTATTACTTTTCTTCCGGAAAGCTTGTATTGCTTATTTCATCTATATTTGGAGCTGGAGTGGCTGTTTTTGGATACTGCATTTTCAATGTTGATAGTCCTACTTTGTTACTAATTGTAAGTTTTGCTTCAAAATTTACTCAGAAAGCACATAATTAGCAACTTTATCCTTATTTGGGCGTTTCTGTCAGTAAGCGTTTGTGGATTTTTGCTATTACTGGAGGTGGTATCTTATTGATAATTATATACACTTTTCTAGTTGGACATAGAATTACCAGGTAAATTTACATCAGCGATAACGAAATATTATGGCATAAATATGTCAATTCGTCGAAATAAGGATTTGACTGCTGCATTAAATGAGATTCAATTCAAAGTATGCAAATTAACTAAAGTCCATTTTTTTCCTGTGCAAATGTAGTTTAAGTGTTGCGGTACGCATGGTGAAAAGTCAAGTAATTATTCATGGTTTATTTATAGAGGGTCAAGCACGTGGTTTTACATTACACAAGAGCTAGGTAGGTCCCAATATGTAGAACTGGTAGTTTTTGTTCAGCTGTAATTTATTTCTAAAGAGAATAAATATTTGGTCTTGAGAATTTTAGCGGCTAGTGATCTGTTTCAGTTTGAAAAGGACAAGAGGCTTGATGGCCTGTGTTAGTCCTGGCAATGGTGGTCTCTCAGTTAATCCAACTTTCTTTTGAAAGAGTCGACGGATGGAGCCTCAACCACTTGCTGAGGTAATGAATTCCACTCGTTGATGATTCGATGGGAAGGTCGATAGTCAGCTGACAAGTAATCTGTTCTGGGCTTGTGAACGTTTTTGGAGTGTCCTTGTAAATTCTCTGTTTTGGAAGACAAGAAAAATGA